TTCCACTCGACGTGCGGTCGAGTGTTGCGGGCGGTGGAGAGGGTGAAGATAGAGAGAAGTGTGTTGCGACAACGCCGACTAAATTTCAAGGCCGAAAGGCTGCCGCAGTGACGTCAGAGGTTGGGGGCCCAGTTGCCCAACCGAGCATGCTCAGTAAGACTTTTTTTCCCACATATTTTATTCGGCCCAATCAAGCCGCAGCAGCTGCGAGAGCGGGAGCGTTGGTTCTCCTAAAACGTGAACGAAACACAGGCTTTCTGCCGCGTTCGCGGCGTAACTGGGCCCCCACCCTCTGACGTCACTGCGGCAGCCTTTCGGCCTTGAAATTTAGTCGGCGTTGGTTGCGAGCGGGCGGAGGGGTCAGCAGCTGCTGCGGGTGAGGAAGAGAGTGACGTCAACGCACAGCCGCGACTTGACCTATTTGGCACCGCTCCAACAGCTGCCGCGAAGAGTTTGGCGCGGGCGTACGGGACAGCGTTACACAGGCTAGTCGAAGAGCTGCTTTGCATCTAAGACACTTAAACTACACAGCGACCCTCTCAACCGACTCTGTCTCTCTCGCACAGAATAATCTCAACCTGACGAGGACCAACACGATCAAGATCAAGACACAGCATCACTTTGTCGCTTGTCTCGCGTCTACGCATTCAAGTCTCCACATACGCAGCACTTGTACGAATGCCCGTCCGTGTGACTTTTGGATGTATACATTCTGTTTCCTGCTGCTTATCTAACGATTTGAGTGTTTACACACCTACAGACTAACCTTCCTGCAAATTCCAACGTACTTGCCTCACGAAGACCACACAGATTAGCTGTAATTTACATCACACGGGCCACTGTTTTTCCCTTTAGGTGCTTCGACTTGACGAGGCACAGCCGTCCGGTACAGAGTCATTAACTGTCTCAGTGTTCGCTTGAAGACAACAGTAAGCGGGAGGAGGATATTAAGGGAAATAGAGAGATAAGAAACAAGGCCAGTGCAATGTTCTCTCTCACTGTATCTAGTTTTTACATGACTCAATGGTCCGAATAGTGTGGATAAAACAGAAATGCTACAATATGCGCCATCTCAATTCTTCATTGGTGTTTCTGATGGTCGTACGGTCGAAAGAGGCAAATAAATATTGCTGTCTTCCTTCCGACTCTTACACCGCGTCCACGCGTTCGCACGCTATGTTTGTGTCGCGCAGGCGGAAAGTGTCATCGTGCTTCAGTAACCTGCGTCAAAGTTCCCACTAGAAAGAAAGAAAGAAAGAGAAAAAAGAAAGAAAGACTAAGAAAGATAAGAAAAGAAGAAAGAAAGAAAGAAGAAAGAAAAGAAAGAAAGAAAGAAAGAAGGAAAGAAAGAAGAAAAAAGAAAGAAAGAAAGAAAGAAGTACAGACAGACTCGATTCTGAAATTCCTTGATGCTGTTTCCGAGCAATTATGCTCCGTTAATTGGTTTTACAATTACAAACCTGTATCATGCGTAATTTCATGCTGACATAATTTGCAAGCGTGGGTCACAACCACAAAGACGAATAAAGATGAGGGGTACGAGCTGAACGGCGCAGGGACAAATTAACGTTGCTTCCCAAGTTCCGACTGATCATGTGCACCTACTTACCCGCTGCTCTACGGCTTTAAAACAATGGTCGCCAAGAACCATATACTTACTATGTCAATGCTGTAAGCATCTGATGATGTTAGGAAAATCATCCTAATGATGTTAGGATAATCGACCTCGCCCCGGGATAAAATGCCGCCAATTTCCTTGAATGGCGCTGTTCTCCCCCCAGCGCGTCTATTCTCCACCCGATATAAAATTTCACGCCGTATACATATTCGCGAATGAAAGAGCCGAACCAACGACTCGGTTGTTTTAAGCAAGTCACTGGCGGCGAGAGGGAACGGCTGAAGCATGTATGCAGATGTGCTAGGTCTATACCGTTTTCAACGGCACCCGCATCATGCGTTGGCAAGACAACGACTGATGGACGCGCTGCTCCGTTAAATCGATATTTTCACACACCGAAAGTATGCGTTCCACCCGGAACCTTTACGCGGACCAGTGCCCGCCTTTTCTTACACCCTCCGAAACTCACGCGAGACGTACATACAAACTGGCTTTCATGGGCCACGTCCCGTGGCTCTTGTGCTCTCTGGAAGCTTCCCGAGCGAACGAGACACGGGAACGACGGGGAACACGCACAGCCCAGCTCTCCTTGTCGGGACCCCTTTCAGCACCGTTCGGCCCGCAGGGGAGTGCAGGCACTGGTTCCGGTCAAGCCGCTCCGGAAGCGCTTCCGGTTCCGGTTTCGGGTTTCCCGTTCCAGTCGAAGCCCCTCCCTAACCATAGTGCGCCTGTGTGCCCGCTCTAGCGTGACATTTGTTCTCCGCCATCCTTCCGTGCACAAGGCTGTGCGCAGGCACGCTCGACGAGTGCTGCCAGAGCAGGGCAGTCTCTCTTCGAACTCGGCAGGACGCATCTCCCGGACCGTGTCCCGGGACGCCGGTCCGAACGAACGGCTCTTTCCCCGCTCTGAAAGGCTGCGTGGGCGTTTGCTTTTCGCTGTGAACGTGTCCTTTTCTCGTTTGCGTTGAAGCAGTATTTGTTAGTTATAGTTGCTTTTTTTCTTTTTCTCTTCGCGTAACGTGATTTTCACGTACTTTCCGTGTCTGCTGCAACTCGTCTGCAACCAAATCATTCAGCGCTTTCGTCAATTCAGCGGCAGATAGTGCGACCATTACGTTGAACATTAGAAAGGACGATTACGTGTATTCGTTGGCGACAGGCTATAGAATGTGCAGGATACTATGTTTCAGGCTTATCATTCAAGGAGCCCCACATGCGGTGCCAAAATACGAGGAGAACAAAGACTGTGCACAGGGCCAATGTCACTGTTGTATATGTGCCCTTCTTTTGTTCTTCTCGTCAATACACTTCAGTTTATGCAATGCGGACGACGTAGGGAGAGCTTGAAGAATGTGGTGTGCGTAAGGGAGCATGCAGTGAAACAGAGAAATAATGAATCGCATGACTTGCAGTGCACACGCGTAAGGCGTGGCGTCGCGTAAAAGTTGCATGCACTTTCTCACCCTCAATCACGCACGGACGGCTGGTTCATCGCGACCGCATAGCGTTGCGGTCGGAATCGGTATTAACCGCTGCCAAACAACGAAGGAGCCGCTGTGCCATTCAAGGGACGCGCGTGTCACGGAACGCACTTTCTCGATGGCGACGTGAAAACACTGCGGAAGTTAAATGGCTCCGTCGCGTTTCCACTTAGCCGAAAGTGAGCGGTGGAACGACAGCTCCGCGCGCACGACACGGGGCCCGGTGTTTCCCAACTCTCCATTAATACTACCACTGTTTGCACGAACGTGGCACGTTTAGTGCTAGCCACTTTTGATGATGCCGATTTCAGCCATACACGGTCGTTTAAATCTGCGCAGTGCACACTGCACGGCAACTACGCACACCAGCGACGGGCACGCACGGCTGTACAACCCTTTCGACTATCCCTTCGAGCCCGCGCGAGCGCTAATGGAGCGAGTCACGCGCGCTGACACCGTCGATGGGCTGCCGAATAGAAGCGATCAGCGTACACTCGAGGCCAAGCTAGCTGGGGCGACGCGTATTGTGTGTATGTATACATGACGCAGGCAACTCTACTGGCAGTCCTGTTCGCGCTCCATCGCTGCTTCTCCCGCATCCTTTGGTGGACGCCAACGGACCGTGCTCCTCTTCCGCGCGCGCCTTTGTGTCGTCATCGGCGCTTGAAGGGCGGGAAAAGGAAAGACGAGGTTCCGGCCGTTTCCTGGGGACGTGATTGATTCGAGAGGAGCCTGCAGATCGGTCTTTCTTTGCCCTGTTGGGTGTGCACAGCTGTAGCGTTGGATTTGCATTGACTGCTGGATTACTCACACACCCAGGCCTCTCGTTGGCATTCGTCAAGCATCCCTGTAGCTTTTTGTCCAGCGGGCGCTATTGTACTCTCCTGTCATTTCCGAATAGTGTAAGCGCACGCATTTCAGTAGCGTGCTTCACGACATCTTGGCTCGATAAATTATCGTCCCTTTATCGACGTGCCTCCGCGTGGTCGGGCAGAAACGTCGTAGAGGGCGCCACTGCTACGAGTGTTACAGTGGAAGTACACCAGGTTCTTCGCAGCTTGTTTTCCAGATTACGTGCTTCTATAGCAGGCAGACGTTCACTTGAGAACTGTTTCCTTGAGGTCGTATTACTACAAGTACGTTCTCGGCATAGCTCGGTTTTTATTTAATATAGCAGATGACGAGTAACATAAAGCAAATATGTTTTGTTAGGAATTTCACTAAACGAATAGAGAAGTTCTGTGAACGATTAGAAACTACATGCACGATGTACACTTTGGCGCAACTTCGATCCTGCTAAGATTAAGCTCTGTGATACATTTATTTTCAAATTTATGACAGTTCTGATAATATCCAACCAAATAAAGTTGTTTTGCGTGATGCCTCCCTTTTTTTAGGCAATCCTGGAGCTGAAATTGGTGACGGCACGATAGCTGGCACACTTATGTGCGACAATATTCACAATGTTTCGCCTATTACTCTCTCCAGGTGTCTAGCGTAGGTGTGTGAACAGGCTCGAAGTTGACATACATTCAGCCTTCTTTTATGCTGTCTTCAATGTATACAGTTGCAGTTACATTTAATGAATGCCTTTTGCGCTAAGGTTGACGTGACCGTCGTTTTACTGGAGCATCTGGTCACTTTTCGTATTGCTATTTCCTCGATGTATTTGTTAATAAAGAAGGCCTGAGGTTCGATATTTCGCGGGGCTTCTATGATGTCATGCTAGACTCCACTCACGCTTCTGGGACGACTGAAGACATGCGCTAACTGTTAAGTAAACGTGGCTCGACATATGTATCCACTAACGAACGCAATACTGTCAGAGTGCGTGTGTGTGACAAGAAATGATATCTGTCGAACGAGGACTCAGTGCAGCAGAGCATATTTTATATACGTGCCTGGTTGACGAGATGCTGGAAGTGGGGCGTCGTGGGGTCCACCTCGTTTGGGTGCATGGCGTACTCGGCCAGGGCCTTCCAGGGCGGCTGGTAGGCGTGTACCTCGAGTGGCTGCGGACTGTCGCTGCCCTCGTGCCTCACGGGGCTGCTGGCAACCATGGGCACGCCGCGGAGGCTGCCCAGGCTGAGCGGACGCCCGTCCTGCGACATGAGAACACATATGGCGCCATTCAGCTGCCTGTACAGACAATCGAACGGTTGATTGGCCTGTTTATCAGGTTTAACGCCCCAAAGCGACTCAAGCTTGGAGCGAATTCCGTGTAGTGGAGGGATCCGATAGTTCAGACTCTCCTTCGGTTCTTTAACGTGCACCGACAACGTACAGTACACGAGCCTCAGGCATCTTGTCTCCGTATAGAGATATGGAAGTCCGCCGCTACCGAGATCGGGACCGCGTATTTTGGGTGAGTACCCGAGCTCCGCTGACGAACATACGACCAGGCCAAGCCTTCACAAGCCTTCAACAAAAAAATATATTAATATTAGGCAATAATACATCACTGCTGCCTGTGTAACTGCGTGGGCACTTTCTAGCACATTACTGCATGACCATCCCTGCAGTCTCCGTGAAGAACAAGAAGCCACTCCGCGTGTGGCCGGTGGATGTTTCCACGATATGCGGCAGAAGTTGTGCGGCGCTGCTGGCTCTTGAAGGTTTTTCAGAGGAATGATCAACGTCTTCGTCATTTATAACGATGACTACCTATTTGCGATATTTTAGGGCCGGTCAAGGTCCTGTACGAAGTGGCCTCCACGTTTACGAGGAAAACGCGGTCTACGAGGAGTTTAACAGAAAGAAAAAAAGGATGCACTTCGCTTAAACCATATACAGGCCAAAGCCACAAGCTCCAAATGTAAGAGCTGCGCAAAATCGCCACTGCATGTATAAAAGACAGAGGACGAAGCACTGGGCCACCTTTCATGATGTGCAACTCTAATTAGCTGTGCAGTTCTCTACAGTGACTATCAAATGACTCCAAGACATGAATTATGTAGCAGAAACATCGTTATAGGATAAATTATTCCAAAGAAAGAGGTGGAAATGTGTCGAGGCGTGTTCTGGCTCCACATTACAAGAGTCACGAGAAATTGGAGAACGAGAGAAACAGAAGACATTAGAAAGGCAAAGATGTCAACCTTAAGTTACACTGTGAAAGCCCAGTTTAGAAAAATTGGAAATTATAAAGACCAAATTGTTCTCAGATATCATTCTGTCAGCATCTGCATGCTCTTCCGAATTCTTCCCCCTATACGTTTACTTTTACTTATTCGCCAGTTCTTCGCTCTTAAAGGCGTGGGTTTGTCCGTCCCTTGTATATAGTTCCACCTTTGGCAAATGTCCATTAAATCGTACTTGCAAACATCCCACTAAGCCCCATCACCGATTCATCACTTCACCGACCATAAAGCAAATATTGTTGAGGTAACCATTATGAAATGCAATATGGTCGTGTACTTGTATCCAGGTGCGCTTTAAAGAACCACAGGTTGTCCCAGTGTGTCCACTCCTTGTTTGTACGTGACCACCTATAGTTGCACCCATATAGGCAAACTGCCCACTACTTCGTCCTTGCAAACATCCCACTATGTCCCGTCACCGATCCACCACTTCACTGACCATAAAGCCGTTATAATGAAGGAGGAACGGAAGCGACGTATAGCTACTACTTACGATTTATGAAATTTCTTGTATAAATATATACAGTGTATGTCACATCTTTGATGATGTACGATATTCGCGGATGGTTCACAGTTTAGCAATGAAACCCTCCAGCGCTTGGCCACACTCATCATCATTCACTTCGTGAATATGCTGTGGTTGTTTTGTTTCGCTCACAAGTAAGAGAAAAGCCTCGAATTTGCAAAAATAAATTCTCATAATTTCCTGGCATGTCTGCTGCTGTGCTCCAACACGTCAAACGATTCGATGATGCAGCCACTGTGCTATAATATAGAACTTAATGGACATGGCATGTTGCTGACTACCCGATTTCACTCCTTTTCTTACTCATACGACATGAGTTCTACGAACATCACTGTTCAAAGAGCTTAACAAAGCTTTTTTTTTTTTATTTTTCGAAATTTCCTGACGGGCCATCGTCGGGGCGAGAGGCTAAGGGCAGGGCCTGCTGGGTCGCCGCACTTTCTTGCCCTTCCCGTAGCTCGTCCCGTGAATCTACAAGGCAGCCAGACAAGAGGACAGCCGCCCCATCCGCGACGTGACGCCATCGATCTTGCCTATAACGGCGGATGCATGCTCATAGCCTCTCTGGCTCTGCGGAGGAGCGAGCGTCGCTGCCCGCGCCTGTTCCACCGCAGCCATGGCGCGATAAGCCCGCGTGGGGAGCGCCAGCCGCGGGCTTGTGTCTGCCTTGTACTTACACCCATCTCGCTCGAAGAGCACGAACATACACATGCAGGCGTTTGCAAGCGAGCGCACGGAGCCCCGTATACGAGCTATTGCTCCGGTGGAGAGGTTCCTGTCCCTCCCGGACAAGGCTCGTGCGGTGCCGGAAACACCGCCTGCACTGGAGTGCGTGGACTCATGTTTTACGCACGAGACTGGCAGCTGCCTTTTTTATATATAGAGATTTTGCTTCCCTTATCTTTCCTTTTTCTGTGACCTGTGTTCTTATCTCAACTGCGAACGCATATCCAGCGGGAGGACTGACAAGGAGGGCAGCCTGCACTTGTGCGCGAATGCACTACGCAGCGGGCTGCCTGGCGTTGTAACCCGGAGCTCCTGTCGGCGGCACTCGAACGCAGCACTTAATGCGGACGCTGCGCTTCATCGATGACGACACGAGCTGAGTGGAACAGCCGTCGTTTATGTAGGTGTCGTCGCTACGTGCGTGTATTGAGGCGTATGCAGGTACCGATGTGCCATGTAAAATAACACGCCACGCGAGGTTCAGCGGGAATCAGGAAGGCTTCTAATTGCGTGATCACTGTGAGGTGTTCTCGTAAGAGCCACTCGGCCCTCATGACCTGCAGCGATAACGCAAGAGGATTATAGGTCTGGATATTATCGTTATACATGAAGACTCGAATGCGGCGTGCCGAGCACCAAAGTTGAAGTTCTGTCAGAGTGCCAGCATATTTGTAATTGCCAATCTATCAGCATCAACTGCCTATTGTTGCGCCAGAGCTACGTTACCACAAGTTGCTCTAATTTTCTTTAGAATATGCAGCAATCGCGCCTTCAGCGTTTTACGTTGCACTAAAGTAATAATTCGTTAAGCAACTTCCTGGAGAAGGTCAAGAAACATCGAATTGAACGATAACTTCTGTCCAGCCCTAAGTCATCACGTGCAGTGCGTTGAGATGTTAAGCCTTCACAATGCGTAAGTTCCTTTTGGAGCCCGTCTCTTGATCACAAGTCTCCTCACCATGTACAAGGCTTCCACGCGGCTTCGCAGAATGCAGCGGACGCTTAGCACGTTCATGTACTATAAAAGCAAGACACGTTTGGGGGGGGGGGGGGGCTGAGAATTCATTAGAAGGCAGAGAGGTAGGCCTGAGCTAGGTTCGCTCTAGCCTGCTATTCTACACAGGAATAAAGGGAAGGAGGAAGGAAAGAGGGATGAAGGATGATGATGAGTGATGAGGACAAGCAGAGGTGGTGCGTATGCACAATAGCCATTTATCATAGTACCCTAGAGTCTAGTATCTAGTCCGGTGCTTTTGATGAAGTCTATATAAAACAGCATTTGTAGCAGTTTTTGACACTGTTTGGTCGTTAATTGCTGACAATATGTGGCTATCACTCAATGGCGTTCGTCCGATGCTTGCAAACGTTGAAGTTAGCATTTTTCTTTGCGCCACGTACAATGGGCAGTCACAAAATATGTGATCTAAAGTTTCGCGCACTTGGCAGCGTTCACAATTCGAGCTGTCCGCACGGCCGATTACGTGAATGTATAGTGACGAGTGAAGGCACGTTTAACACGGTACGCAAAGATTGCATCCGTTGCGACGCTACTTTTGTCGCTTAACGGGGTAAGCAAGTGGATAGCGTACGCATGCGAAGTGGCGACAAACGCTAACGCGTACCCTATTCTAAAGCTGGATACGAAACACTCTGAAGTAGCCATCGTTGCCACGCCGCAGCTTGTGAATGGTCGTTCCTTGTAGTTTGGGAACCCTACCGAACACCGACTGCTGAAAAGCCGACGCACAGTGTGCGCTAATGAACTTCCCCGCCGTGCGCGAAATGTTTACGACACGGCGGGTGTCGCGACTCTTTTCGAGGCCGCACTCGGCACCGCCCGGCAGAGGGCGCCTTTAGAACTGTATACAACTACACTGGCGGCGGCCCCGAAATTACCTCCTCTTCTAGACCGACGTACCGTGTCCATCCATGAACGACGGTTTCGTCCTCGTGTCTGCAGAACCTCGCTCGCCGATTGTTACGGTGTGCCAGAAGGACAGACAGGGCGCGTGTCTCTCTCGATTGGGAACCCGTCGCGTCCGCGCCGCGAACCGATGGAGAAATGTCGTTCGAGCGGGGGGTGCACGCCTGACGCTAGAGGGCGGGACAGAACACGCGCCTCTAAGGTCCCTTCACGCGCCTCGAACGCACGTCGGCGCACACGGGGCGTCGTTGCGTTGCAAGCGCTTGCCTCACGCAGCCAGAGAGTAAAGGAGAGCGATCGCCGGCGTTGCTCGCAGCCTTCCCGCTATAGCGACCGTGCACACGCGGGCAGAGTGCGGCGAGCGCCACGTGCCGATAGCCTAATGACGCTCCATTGTTTCCTCCATTCATTTTTTTTTTCTTCTTCCGTCCACACGACCGAGCACCCGAATCGTGTTCTGTGATCGCTTTGCTGTTTCCCTGCGTTCGCGACGCAAAACCGTTCCACACGTAATTCGGAAGCGCAACTAAATATGAAACTTCTTATATACAAGTTTGAAGTCACAGATATGCTTCGAGATCCGCGGCTGTAGAAATTGTGTAGGCAATGCTGGATTTCTTCCGCACTGTGCTGGTGTATATGGCGAGTGCAAAAAAAAAAGAAGCAACTATGCAAGCAACAAAAAGGAAAATGAAATGAGTGCATCTTTCTTCCATCACTTCCACGGCAGACTCAAACTGCATCATGTGGCGCTGCCCTATAAGTACCCTCTTCCCCTTTTCGTCA